TGGTGGTGATGGTGATGATGGTGGTGGCGATCGTGATGATAGCAGTGGTGGTAATGGTGACAGTGATGGTGGTGACCCACAATCTCTGCAGCAACAGGCCCAGCATGACCATCGCCGCCATCATTACCACCACTGTTACCACCTACCGCCATTAACTTCACCACCATCACCACCACTAAACGACTGGTGATAGTGGTGGCGGTGGTGGTGAAGGTGTAGCATTGTAAAGAGCTAGAATCAGCTCCCACACAGGTGAAGTTGAGGGATTATTACTGAGGCCCGTGTCAATTAGGAGAATTATATCATACATATGAAGGCACCATGGGCAATAAAAACAAACAGTTCTATCACATATGAACCCTAAATCAAAGTCTATAAGGGCAGCCACTGAAAATCACAGATGCTGGCTTGGGGTCAATCTGCTGCTCACATGGGTAACTTTATGCAGTCCGCTTCAGGATTAGTAACGGGGGGATGGATATGTTTAGAATGTTTAATGAATTAAGAGACCGAATATGCAAAGGAACAATGGCCATATATAACACTGCATTTCTAGGTATAGTGTCATGTACGGTCATTGTCCCTTTGTGTATTCAGAGGCTGTGACCCACAACCTCTGCAGCAATAGGGCCAGGAAGCCAAGCCACAGCTTCTATGGCAAGAGGCCCAGAACGTCAGGATCTGCTCAATGCCTGCCTGCTGCCCTAATTTTCACCTACACTTCCAACTCAGAACCAAGCCAAGAAAGCCAAACATCCTCTCCAAACCCATCACACGAGATGCTGCTGCCTGCACCTTCCCCCTACCAACATCTTCCAATTACAGCCCACCTAAAATGTTTTTTTCCTATAGAAACCTTTCCCTCTAGCATTTGAGTCTCCAGTTATATCTGACTCTCTGCCAAATGCAAGTGATGATGGCTGACTGTCTGGCCATAGAAAGCACTAAATAAATAGTCTCTGCCTTCCTCATTTGAGTGGTCTTCGTTGATTCCCACAGAATCTTCTCAACAGTGGAAAGCCAGCTAAATTTTAAGTTTCCAGATGTATACAATGCTCCTGCTGGTGTTGTTCTCTCCATTCCCACTAGGTGGCACCATTCACTAGGGAAGTGTAACATGCTTCCCCAGGAGTTCCCAGACCCAGCCGGGAGGCAAGAAAGGGCCACTGTGCACAAGCCCATCTGGCTGTGCTTCTCTTTCCACGTGAACCACATGACTGGTTTTAGCAGCTCGCATGTAACATTGCTACCCAGCAGATGTGATGCGGGGCAAGTACTAGTGCAAGGGGAAGAGGGTGGCGGTGGGAAATGGGCTGGCTCTGGGCTTCCTGGCCTCTGCATCTTCGGCATTCCGGACAGGATTCTTCGTTGTGTGTGGAGCGGAGCGGGAGGCTGTCCTGTGCATTGCAGGATGTTTGGCAGCATGTATGGCCTCTACCCACTTGATGCCAGAAACATTCCCTGTCTTAGTTCTAAGTTGGAGCTGCTATATAACAAAATACCGGCCGGGCGCAGTGGCTCACGCCTCTAATCCCAGCACTTTGGGAGGCTGACGTGGGTGGATCACAAGGTCAGGAGTTTGAGACAAGCCTGGCCAAGATGGTGAAACCCCGTTTCTACTAAAAATACAAAAATTAGCCTGCGCAGTGGCAGGTGCCTGTAATCAGGAGGCTGAGGCAGGAGAATCACTTGAACCCGGGAAGCAGAGGTTGCAGTGAGCTGAGATCGCACCACTGCACTCTAGCCTGGGAGACAGACAAGACGCTGCCTTAAAAAAAAAAAAAAAAAAAAAAAAAAAAGAATTGTTCGGCTTAGAAACAGCAAATCTTTATTTCTCACAGTGCTGGAGGCTGGGAAATAAGGATCCAGGCGCAGCATGGATGAGTTCTAGTGAAGGCCTGCTTCTGGTCTGCAAACTGCCGCCTTCTCACCGTGTCCGTGCTGGAAAGAGGGTGAGAGCTTTCTCTGGGGCCTGTTTGATGAGGGCACTAAACCCATTCATGAGGGCTCCACTCACCTCCCATCATTTTGGGGGTTAGAATTTCAACATATGAATTTCGGAGGGGGGCATGTTCAGCCCATAGCACTCCCCTTTCCCCTTTTATGACGATAAAACGTCTTCAAACATTGCCAAATGTCAGCTAGGCAGGGTGGCCCATGCCTGTATTCTTAGCACATCGGGAGACCAAAGTGAGAGGATGCTTGAGCACAGGACTTTCAGACCAGCCTCGGCAATACAGCAAGACTATGTCTCTGCAAAAAAAAAAAAAAAAAAATTCTGGGCTGGCATGGCAATGAAGCACACCCATCGTCCTAGCTACTCAGGAGGCTGAGGAGGGGAGATGGCTTGAGCCCAGGTATTTGAGATTGCAGTGAGCTATGATTGTGCCACTGCACTCCAGCCCGGGGGACAGAGTAAGACCTTGTCTCTTAAAAAAAAAAAAAAAGAAAAGAAAAATTGCTAAATATCCCCTGGAAAAGCAAAAAAAGCAAACTTGTCCCTGCTTGAGAATCACTGGTCTTAGGTCCTTGTGGAGGACAGTTCTCTCCTGAGACCCTTTCAGCACCCCCTGCTGCAGCTTCAACTTCTGTGTCTCCCCTTGAGCAGGCTCTAAACCAGTGTGTCTCTGGTGGGGACTTGAGCCACCTCCACCAAAAACACCTGGGTGGCTGGGCACAGTGGCTCACACATCTGTAATCCTAGAACCTTGGGAGGCCAGAGCAGGAAGATCTCTCAAAACTAGGAGTTCAGGATCAGCCTGGGCAACAGAGTGAGACTGTCTCTACAAGCACACACACACCTGGGGTGCTTGTAAAACTGCACGTTCCCGGGGCCTATCCCAGACCCCTTGCATCAGGATCACTCAAGGAAGGCCAGGATCTGTCCTTTTCTTTTCTTTTTTCCCCGTAGATCCAGTGGGATTATCAGGCAGATAAGAAGTGTGAGAAAGGCCAAACGTGGTGACTCACACCTGTAATCCCAGCACTTCAGAAGGGTGAGGCAGGTGGATCACCTGCGCAGTCAGGAGTTGACCAGCCTGGCCAGCATAGTGAAATTCCGTCTCTGCTAAAAATATAAAAATAACCAGGCCTGGTGGTGGGAGCCTGTAATCCCAGCTACTCGTGAGGTGGAGGCGAGAGAATCACTTGAACCCCGGGTGGGGGTGGTGCGGGGTGGAGGTTGCAGTGAGCAGAGATCATGCCTTTGCTCTCCAGCCTGGGCAACAAGAGCAAAACTCTTGTCTCAAAAAAAAAAGAAAAAAAAAAGGGAGGCTCGGTGGCTCAGGCCAGTTGTCCTAGCACTTGAGGAGGCAAGGCTATGCGTTCGAGGCCAGCCTGGGCAACATAAAAACCTCTGACTCATTTTAAAAAAAAAAGTGTGAGAAGGCCTGGCCCTGCCCCTTCCCCCAGGTCCTGCTTGGTATCTCTGGCCTGCAATTCCTTCCTAAGAGAGTCTGGTGCCAGCGTGTAGATTTTGGCCCAGGGCCACCCATATCTACTCCCCAAGCTGGCAGAGGAGAAAACATCAGAAATAATACTGAAAGAAGCAGGGAAGGGAGAAGGCTGTTGTGTGCGTGTGCCTGCAGCAATGAGCCATCCCTTTCCCGGGAGACCAGACCGGTGCCTTCTCCCTTTCTCTTTTTCACTCTTCAGTTGAATTGTCTTCATCACTCCTCATCAAGAGAATTTCTCCTCCTCTAGTTCCTGCCTTCTGGTTTTCTAGGTGGCTTGCTCCAGACACCCCTCTCCCGGTGCCACGGAACTGGCACTAATCACGTGCAGCACCTGTGCTAACCGAGTGTGGCCCAGGCAAGTCCCCTCCCCTCCTCCTGCCTGGAGGCTTGGGTTGCTCCTCTCTGAGGCCACTCCCCACTCTGACATGGTATGCCCCTGGGCCCTATTCACTTTTTTTTTTTTTTTTTTTTTTTTTGATGGAGTCTTGCTCTATCACACAGGCTGGAGTGCAGTGGTGTGGTCTCACTGCAACCTTCACCTTCTGATTCAAGCAATTCTCCTGTCTCAGCCTCCTGAGTAGCTGGGATTACAGGCATGTGCCACCACGCTCAGCTTATTTTTGGTAGAGATGGGGTTTCGCCATGTTGGCCAGGCTGGTCTCAAACTCCTGACCCCAGGTGATCCACCCCCTTCGGCCTCCCAAAATGCTGGGATTACAGGACTGAGCCACCGTGCCCCGTTGAACCCTGTTAACTTCTCTGTTCTAAAGCCTGTCCTGGCCACAAAGCCATGATGCTGGTGCCCTGGGGTCAGGCTGTCTGGGCCCATCTCAGCCCTGGTACTCCCTTGCAGTGGCCTGGGGCAAGACAGCCAACCGCTCTTTGGTTGCTTCTTCATCTCTAGAAGAGGCTAATATGAGAACCTTCCTACTAGGTAATCTCTGTGATGTATTAACACTGCACGTATTCAGGAAAATGAGAACAGACCACTGTTCTTGTGCTCTTTAGCCTATGTGAGAAGACTGGTACTGGGAGGGACCTGACAGCCCCTATGCACCTATGATCTCGTCTCCGCAGGAATCTGACGCCCAGAGAGGGAAGCTGACTCACCCAAAGTCACACTGCCAGCAAGAGCAGTAGTATATCACCTGGCTTGCCTTTGACCAATTTTTTTTTTTTTTTTTTGAGACAGAGTCTCACTCTGTTGCCCAGGCTGGAATGCAGTGGCAGGATCTCAACTCATTTCAACCTCTGTCCCCAGGTTCAAGCGATTCCCCTGCCTCAGCCTCCTAAATAGCTGGGACTACAGGCATGTGGACTACGCCCATCTCTACTAAAAATACAAAAATTCGCCAGGTGTGGTGGCCAGCACCTAATCCAGCTACTAGGGAGGCTGAGGAAGGAGAATTGCCTGAACCTGGAACTGGGAGGTTGCAGTGAGCCAAGATCACGCCATTGTACTCCAACCTGGGTGACAGAGTGAGGCTCTGTCTAAAATAAAATGTTCTCTTTTTTCTTCTTGTTGTTTTTGTTTGTTTTTTGAGAGAGGTGAGACAGGGTCCTGTTATGTTGCGCAGGCTGGAGTGCAGTGCTGAAATCATGGGTCACTGTGGCTTTAACCTCCCTAGTGTGTGCCACCACACCCAGTTAATTTTTTATTTTTTGTAGAGATGGGGGAGTCTCACTATGTTGTCCTTTCTGGTCTTGAACTCCTGGCACACACCTGTGATCAAGCACAGACATGTGATCAAGTGATCATGCTGCCTTAGCCTCCCAAAGTGCTGGGATTGCAGGTATGAGCCACAGATTAAAATTGGCCTAAAATCTTTTTTTTTTTTTTTTTTTGAGACAGAGTCTTGCTTTGTTACCCAGGCTGGAGTACAGTGGCACGATGTTGGCTCACTGCAACCTCCACCTCCCAGGTTCAAGCAATTCTTCTGCCTCAGCCTCCTAAGTAGCTGGGATTACAGGCACGTGCCACCATGCCCAGCTAATTTTTGTTTTAGTAGAGACGGGGTTTCACCACGTTGGTCAGGCTGGTCTCCTGACCTCGTGATCTGCCCACCTTGGCCTCCCAAAGGGCTGGGATTACAGGAGTGAGCCACCGCACCGGGCCTGAAATCTTTTTTTTTTTTTTGAGACAGAGTTTCACTCTTGTTACCCAGGTTGGAGTGCAATGGCGCGATCTCGGCTCACCACGACCTCCGCCTCCCGGGTTCAGGCAATTCTCCTGTCTCAGCCTCCTGAGTTGCTGGGATTACAGGCACGCGCCACCATGCCCAGCTAATGTTTTGTATTTTTAGTAGAGACGGGGTTTCACCATGTTGACCAGGATGGTCTTGATCTCTTGACCTCGTGATCCACCTGCCTCGGCCTCCCAAAGTGCTGGGATTACAGGCTTGAGCCACTGCGCCCGGCCCTGAAATCTTTAATGAAAAGTATTACTTCACTCCTTCTGCTGAGTCTGAAGATACTGCCTCGTTGGGCCAGAAAATAGGCAAGGAAGGCTCTCAGAAGCAGGAGGTACGCGCCTTGCATCCTGTGCACAGAAGTCTACGCAGAGGAGTTGGACTCACTGGCCTGACTGTCCTCCTTTGTTCTGAAATCACAGTGACCACAAAGAGCCACAACAACTTAAACACAGAAAGCCATGCCTCTAAAAAGTATCCAAATCACATTCTTGTTCCTTTTTTTTTTTTTTTTCACTGTTCAACTATGTCGTCCAAAAGGAACAGAAAGAATATAATTATAGCAGGTACTTGGCATGGCAGGCTTCATCTTTGAGACTTTGCCTAGTGGTAAATGACCTGGAAAGTTCACACCTTTGTTCTTTGCTTTTTATCATAAACACATCAGTCTTTACAAAAGTTACAAACACTTTAATTCGTGTGTAAAAAAAAAAGACACTCCAAAATAAATTAGGGTTATGAAATGAAACAGAAGTGATTCTTATCTCAAAATGATATGTTGAGGTGCTATCTGCCAAAGCAGAGATTCTCCAGGATTCCTTGCGGTAAGCCGCCAAATGTCAGCCGTCCGTGGTAATAAACAAAGACCGTCTGCCCCACAGCACCCCCTAGCGGGCTTCAACAGCTGCCCATCTTATAGTCCCAGTGAAAGTGGCAGAAGGCGTGAGAGTGTTCTGGGCGGACAGAGGGCACAGAGGCGTCTCTGCCAAAGACCTGCCCTTCACAGCCAGGGAAGATGAAAGAGCCCTGGGGCTTCAGTCTGGGTTCTGCCCACTCCTGGGTGGCCTCCGCGCCTCCACCCCTCCCACTCCCATCCCACACCTCCTGGACTGCATCTGACTGGGATGAAGAACAAACCGAGCCTGGTTTTGAGGTTTGGGTGGGATGCTTGGCTTGGTTTTGTTTCCTCAGAGAGAGGCAGCCGAGTGGGACTGGAAGGAACTGGCACCCAGCTGTGTCTAGGTGGGGGAATGGGCTGAGGATGGGGTTAGAGGCAGAATGAGAGTGGCAGGAGGGAGGTGGCCTTCTCTGGAGGGAAGACATCTACGTGCCAGCAAGAGACTAGAAGGGCATCCTTGACATCTGTGAGCTCTGACTTAGAGCCTCTTTAAGATGGCTTAGTGGGCTCTGAACCTGCACGGCTTTGGTCTCTGGATGGGAGGGATGTGGGGGAGCCTTGGCCAAGTCTGTGTCAGGGTGAGGCTGTAGACTTTTCCCTGCCCTTAAGTTCTTTCCTTGCTTTACCTCATCTAAACTTGTCTAAGCACAGACATGTGATTCTTCTCCCCACACCAGCTCTCCAGATGATCAATCAATCAATAAACTTCTTGTCCATCATCTATTGTGTATATAGATTTTTTCCTTTCTTTTTATTTATTTATTTATTTTAAAGAGACAGGGTTTCACCATGTTGGCCGGGCTGGTCTCGAACTCCTGATCTCAGGTGATCCGCCTGCCTCAGCCTCCCAAAGTGCTGGGATTACAGGTGTGAGCCACCACGCCCTGTCTCTTTCTTTTTAAATACAATTTAATTATTTCCTTTTTTTTTGAGACAAGGTCTCACTTGCCCAGGCTGGAGTGCAGTGGCGCTATCTCGGCTCGCTGCAACCTCTGCCCCCCAGGTTCAAGCGATTCGCGAGCGTTCGCCTCCTGAGTAGCTGAGATTATAGGCGTGCACTACCACTCCTGGCTAATTTTTTGTATTTTTAGTAGAGACAGCATTTCACCATGTTGCCAGGCTGGTCTCAAACTTCTGGGCTTAAGTGATTTACCTGCCTCAGCCTCTCAAAGTGCTGAAATTACAGGCATGAGCCACCGCGTCCAGCCTGGTTTCTTTATTTTTATCTTTATTGGAGGGCAGTCAGAGCCTGGAAGAGAGGGTCTGTTCCATCCAAACAGTCAGAGCATGAGATAGAGTCGCGGGCCCACTGAATGCACCACTACCTTGGCTAACGGCTGAGATAAAGCCAGCTCCGTTGCCTGTGTGTGCTGGTGCTGGTAGAGGGTCCTGGGCCTGTAAGTGGTGGGGAGAGAGAGGGAGATGAGCACTGATGGGGAAGAAGAAAAATTGCCTCCTCCTGTTCTTCAACCTTGATGCTCTGTTCATGGGGAGAAAGAAGAAAAAGGAGATTAGGAAAAGAATAACCAACAGGAGGCACCTGTGAGTCCTCCTCATAGGCCAGGCACCCTCACAACAGCCCTCGTAGGAAGTCACAGCCATTGCCATTTCCACCCTACAGATGAAGGGTTTACAAGCTGGGATTTAGAGGCTGAGCAACTTGCTACAGCGCTGAATGTACTCCTCCAATCAAAGCCTGCACTCCTCAGCAGGATGCTGGAGGAAGACAAGGGAGAGGAAGGAAGAAATGTTCTGCAGGGGCCCAAGGCTGCTCTGTGTGGAAGAAACAGGATTACTACTTGGGAGGCTGAGGCAGGGAGTTTGAGGCCAGCCTGGGCAACATAGCAAGACCCTGTCTCAAAATAAATAAACTAAAATTAATTTTTCTGTGGCTCACGCCTGTAATCCCAGCACTTTGGGAGACTGAGGCAGGCAGATCACCTGAAGTCAGGTGTTCGAGACCAGCCTAACCAATATGGTGAAATCC